CACACCTTTGTAAAAAGGTGCAAATTATACCTAATGTATCAATTAATAAGACTAAGTTTGAATACTTGCACGTCTCATCTGTCTGAAAGAGAGGTTTGATGCAATCTGAAGGTTCAAGTTGATCTTTGCTGAAGTTGGTTGATGAAAAAGAACCAGTTTGAGTCAGAGAATCTTGGTGAATGGAAAAGTCAAGGCCGAAGGCTTGGCACAAAACTTAGGGTGTCCTGGAGCGTTGCTCACATCAGTGAGCAACCTATTAAGGCTACCTATTAAGTTATCAGTTACAAAATATTATTACTTGCCTATAAGGCCCTTAATGGTGACCAGGACAACTAGATGAGCCCCAGATCCCCTGTAAAGACCTTGTCTCAGACAACCACCTGGACAAGACCACAGGAACCAGATGAGTCCTCTGCACAATGTGACTTTGCTGCAGCCTGGAATTGAACTGCTGGTTTCGTCTGGTCAGAGGAGAACTGGCCCTCTGACTGAGCCTGGTTTCTCCCAAGGTTTTTTCTCCATTCTGTCACCGATGGAGTTTTGGTTCCTTGCCGCTGTCGCCTCAGGCTTGCTTAGTTGGGGACATTTCATTTCCAGCGATATTGTCGACTTGATTGCAAATGATTGCAAAGATACTAAACTGAACTGAACTGGATGATGACATAACTGAATTCAATGATGAACTGTCTTTAACTGAAAAACTACCAAGTGGGGGTTTGGAAATACTGGGGAGTTTATGACCCTTTGTGTGGAAGCATGGTAATTTGCATATGGAACTTGAATCGAAATTACTAAAGATTCTCAGGACACTAATATATTGCCTATGTACCAACATATAACATACACTCTCATTTAGATCATCAGAAGGCGAATTCATAGATACTAAACATGGTAGGATTACATATAGGTAAGATGACAGGAACGAGTGGTTCCATCATAAGCCTGCATAAAACAGTATAAAATATCAAAGACAACATACACAATGACCTGAAGGATATGTGTGTTCATTCACAGAAAGGTTTTTCTATTAATTAATTAGAGAATAGAGCATTGTGTGTCTCTGCTTGCATTCCTTTGAGCAATAAAACCAGTGATATCAGCCTTGGTTGCCATGGAACCAGAGGCCTGTTCTGCTTTCCTGAGGGGTTACGCATTTCGGGGAAGGGTCCATAGGCCCTCATATGGCTTGTTAACTGAGGGGTGTTACAGAGTATTTGTTAAATATAGCTAACCAAAATATATATTGTGTGTTTGATTGGTCCAGATGCTACATAGGTGTGTAAAGTGTAACTTTCAAACCACTCTCTCTCTCTCTCTCTATTCCCATCACTCCTGGTTTCACTTCCTGTTGATGCTATCACCTCCTCTTTGGATTCAGTTCGGTCGGTCCCTCCCCACATACTTTGGTTTACTTGTGTTATTGTTTATTTTTGTTTTGACTTTATTCTACCTCTCTTTGATTTTATTGCATTTATTTAGCATGGATGTACCAATTCAGCTAAATTGATTTTTTATTAAATCTGAGATTTAATTAAATCAATTTGTTTATTTACTTTCCCTTTTAGTTTCCTACAGCTTTTAGGACCCCTTTTTTGTTTTGTTTTACTTTTACCTTATTTTAGTTATTTTACCATCACCATCTTCACTTTTTGTATAGGATTACAGTAGTTCTAGCAACTTAAGGAGTTATACAGGTTATTAGTAGCCTAATCCCTATTTCCTCTCTACTTCTCCTCACTCCTCAGTGCCAGGCCTAATACATTGAAGGGCAGCTACTGTTCAACACAATGTAGGCCCAGATAGTATTTTAGTTATCCAACCATCACCATCTTCACTTTTTGTATAGGATTACAGTAGTTCTAGCAACTTAAGGAGTTATACAGGTTATTAGTAGCCTAATCCCTATTTCCTCTCTACTTCTCCTCACTCCTCAGTGCCAGGCCTAATACATTGAAGGGCAGCTACTGTTCAACACAATGTAGGCCCAGATAGAACTAGGAACAATTCCCATTGTTTCTTTTTCTTTTTGATGAGGTATTTGGCGTGTCCCTGCTAGTTTAGCTAACAGTCTAAGCCTAGGTTTATGAGTCTATTACAGCATCACCCACAAGTGACACCTGCTTAGCCATATCTCTTAGGAAACAAAAAACTAAATAGGTAAAATCTTCCTCCTTCCTTTTCTTTTTGATTTCATCTAATTTTATTTCAGTTTTGTCATAGTGACCAAACCCGTGAACCATCAGTGCTTTGAGTAATAGTTTGACCACACGTATAACCCGGTCATCAGCTGACCCCTGCTTACAGCCCCCTCAACAAAGTTACTCAAACTCTCTCTTTGTGTTCACGAACACAAAAACATAGCACCCTACCTCACTAGCTGCCCCTCACCAGCTATTCATACCTTACACGGCCTACACAGCCATTCCCTTTAGAGATCGCTTAACACCTCTGTACGTATCTGCATTTGCCTTGTGCCTCTCTCTCTCTGGTGTTCCCACAAGTGGGCCAGTATGTCGCAGACATTTCACAGACAACCAGCCCTGCCAGCTCACCAGGACCACCTGGAAACCCAGCAGAGCACTGCAATGGACATCCTTCAGTTCAAAGCAGCCAACGACCTGCAATGGCAAAGAAAGGAACAGCGAGACTGCGACACAAGTGGACACCTGACACCCAGCCTGAACCACCAGGATCTGACCAGCATCATCCTCTCCTTGGCCCATGCCCTCAAGGGCCTCAGACAGGAGGTAAATGAACTGATCCTGCAAGTCACAGAATTCTACAGGGAACTGACACCTGCTCAACGAGAGAAGGCACAGAACGGATGCAAGGAACCTTCACAGAATGGTGCAACAGTAGGAAATCACCAGTCTTCAGGAGGCACTAACAGCTGCTGAACACAGAGAGTAGCTTGAAAGCCACCAGACAGGACTTGGAAAGAGAACTGTTTCACACAAAGTCACTGTTTAAAACAGCGTATGTGGAACTTAATGAGAGAGCCACCAGAGCTAAGGCCTTAGAAGGCCATCTGCATGCAGCCAGAGCTGAGGTCCAAATCCTGACTCAGCAATTAAAGAGGAGCTTGACACGGTTCAGAAAGAATTGAAACAGTCCTACCGACTGCGCATAGACTCAAGTAAAAGACACCCTGCTGCATGTCACACAGCTAGCAGTGCAAACTCCCTCACCCCTGTACACAGACACAAAGGGGGGAGCCAAAGCATTCTTCCTGAAAACCTCTGCAGCTGCAGAAGGAAAAGTTTAATTCAGGCGAACCGAAACAACACCTGGGAATGCCACCTGCAAGCAGCCCGAGCTGAAATCCAAGTCCTTGCTCAGCAGCGAGACAACTCCAAACACCAATCGGGTAAAGTCAAATGAAGCCAAGGTGAATTCAATGTCACAAATGAACTGAAATATGCTTGCAGACCACAAGGTGAACAGACAGGGAAAACACGACACAGAACTTCCCCGGGCAAGCAGGCCCAGACCCCCTCAGCCAAGAGTTCGAACCTGCGAGGGGGGGGCGAGAGCCCACTGTTCACACGTCACCAGCCAGCAGCCACGGGGTGGGGCAGGGACCCTTCCAGAGGATCACTGCAGACACACACACACCATGTGACCCCACAGACCCCAACGAGCTGGCCAGAGACAATACATCTGGCAACCTAAATACTGCAGAGATCCTGAGGACATCAAAGGAACTGATCCTGCAGCCTCACCAGCAGCTTAAACAAGTCATAAAGGAATTCTCAGACGCAGAGTCTGAACACGGACTGATCGCTGCCCCAGACACCAAACAGGGCCGGCATGAAACTCCCCATGCTTACTACCACAGACTTCAACAAGCTTACTTCAAAGCTTGCCATTACCCTGGGATGGCGGAGGACACCAGCTGCAAGAACCTTTTCCTCCGAAACCCCCATCCTAGTGTAAGTCACCATCTAGGCATTATGGCCTGCCGCACAATGCCTAATCAACAGCTGCGTAACCTGACACAAAAGGCCTTTAACAAGCACAAGGCCTCCACTAAAGGTGTTTGTAAGACCCCACTGATTC